TGTATTAACGTAGTTTTAAAAGACTCACGTTTTATTTCTTACTAATTTATATTTTAACATTTACTTCTTTATCTTGACTCTTTTACTTCTTATTACCTTGTTGTCAACTTTGGAAGCAATGTTTTCCTTAATCATAATATTCTTTGAATGCATACGCATTAATTAAATTCTTGATCCCTCATTGATTCTTTCAACAAATTCCATTACACATTTAAATATTTAGTAAGTATGAAAATGAATTACGCTCCCTTTCACATTAAATAAATGCTCATTAAATAAGTGATACGTTAATATATATATACGTGGTTCCTGTATTTCATTTTTCAACGTAAGTTTCTCGATCCGAAATGACACAACAATAATGTTGCATGATTGTTTTCTTCTAATGTCTGTTGAACATGTATACATAGATTTTTTTAATAAATTGCTCTTAAAAAAATTATTAATTATTAATTAACTGCCCCTTTTGCAGACAATGACTCCAAAGAAATCGCAGATATTTCAAATATTTCTGAGACATGGCCTTGTTCGAACAAAAAGTTGGTTCAAAGTTTTTCTGTTGCTAGATAAATGAAAAGAACTTTTCATTTACTTCTTAAAGAGCATTTACAGCTATTTATAATTACTTTAAATAGTTAAAACTGTTATATATATCAAATAATTATTTACAATTTGCTTTTACTTTATATGATACAAATTCTTCAAAAATATACATAAAGTTAATACTAAAAATTTGATAAGGTATACATACATAGAATTATTACTAAGAATTTTAAAAGTTTATTGACTTGTCTATAATATTATTAATTTCTTTCGTTCACCTTTATTCATTCTGAACAACTAATATTCCAAATATGTGACATTTCCTCTGTCTAAAGAGTAAAATATATTATAATATTTAATTTATCATCATTTCATATTCAATATTCTTTAAAATTATCTTAAATCATAAACAAAGTATACATAGATATACATTAGTTATGTATATAAATAAAGAAAATAAATAGTAATCGCATAAATATCGCGAAACCTTTACCGGAAGTCACTGCAATCAAATGATGACTTAAAGTCAATGAAATCTGTCGATCCAAGATAATTCGTACATCCTTACTTCTCATTATAATGACTAATTGACTCCATACTCCTTCATCATTTACAAATCTCAAAATAAAATTATAAGCAAGAAGAAATAACATTATAATTTTTTTAGAAGTTCTACTAATAAGAAATTTATTTCTTTGTTCTTGCGTTTCAAACAAATATAACAGAATTATATTTTACACATTCTTTCTTGTAAATATAACTTTCAAAAAGAACATTTATATTAATTGCAGTTTCATGACTAAAAAAGCAAATATGTGTAAATAATTTTTAATAGTAATTAAAAAGATGAATATGTTTACTTTTACAGTGGCTATTATTAATTTTCAAATTTCTTTTAAATGTTTTTGAAATAATTTGTAACATTGCAAAACAAATTAATTTTATATTTTATATTATTATAATAAATTTAATAATTAATAATTATTAATCAATTAATCAATTATTGATATTAATTAATTGTTAATAAAAATAACTATTTAATTTCCTTCTATATAAACAATACTTTAATTAAAAACATTTTAATTTGAAAAGACATAATCAGTAATAATCCAATTTTTGACAAAATTTATTATTGTTAAATATGAATAAAAGTGCATTAAAATATTATGATTATATTATGTATATCCAATTTTTGACAAAATTTATTATTGTTAAATATGAATAAAAGTGCATTAAAATATTATGATTATATTATGTATAATACAAATACATTCATATGAAATACGAAATATAATAAATATAAATATGTAAAGTATAAACACACACACACACACACACACACACAAAATATAAAATAATAAGTATGAAAATATAAATATGAAATATATGTATGTATGTATGTATATATATGTATGATATTCATATCTATGAATATTTAGTATATGCATAAAACTAATTATATATATAAATATATATTGATATATATTGAAATTAATTACTTTATATGAATTCTTTGAAACCTAACTGTTAAATAATTTAAACAACTAAATTTCCATGTAAGATACAATAACTTATATCCTTTCATTCTATAATTACTGAATTTTATATATTGTTGCACAGGAATGTTACTTTGCATAAGGAATACGAAAGCAGAAGTAAACACTTTTCACAATATTTAGCCTTAATTCTAACACAACTATATTCGCACAGTTAACACAGTTAGTTCAATAAAATTTATGAACTGTAAAATATAGAATATTTGTCTCAATTTCAATTACATTATTTTTATATTTAAAATTGTTGTATATGATACATTGGAAATTAGTATTTATATTAAAACAATTGAAAAAAATAACAATCATAAGATGCAATAGATTGCAGAAGATAAAATAATTTAATATACTGTTTTATATTACACATTTTCATCAAAATAATTCGCTTTATTGATCATTAGATTTCTCATCTAGGTTTGTCAAGAAATGATAGAAATAGGAAGTGTCATTATAACTGATTGCATCTAGCGTTAGATAGTGGACATTTACGAGTGGCTGCGATTTAAAAGATATTATTATATATTTTCACACGATTAACTTCAAATCTCAATGTGAAAGTAAAAGATCAATAGAATTTTCAATACATTCATACAAAATAATATTATACAACAATTTTTAAATATAATAAATATGATTTTCATTCTCTATAATTTATATTTCTTTAATTAAATAATATGATTTTTATTTCTTTAATTTTAAGATTTTATTCGTAATATATTTTCTTCTAATATAAAACTGTTACACGTAGTTTTCTTAAAACAATATATATCTTAAAGAACAAAAAATAATTTCTAATTTTATGATGATGATAATGTCATCTTCTTTTCTCAAATTAATTATAAATTATGTTATATATATCCAAATCTGACTTGAACATTTTGTTAAAATTTGAAAACTAGTATTATTTTAAAATAACTTATTTCTGAAATAGTTTAAGTTTAACAATTTATTTTATGAAATTTTATTTATTTATTTAAAGTAAATAAAGGATTTACTTGTCGCTTTATGAAAATAAAATTATTATTTTATTTTAATAAAAATAGCTAATTTTTTAAGATATATAGGTATATCAGAATATATATTTATCTTGTTTTTGCTTTACAAAGTGATATATGCATAAAATTCTCATTATTTGACGCTCGGGTATAAATTATACCCATATCAGACATTATATTCTAATATTTCGCGATTATATACACGATATACTTAATTTACAGTGGTTGCGAAAGTCTCAAACAATATTAACTTATTGTAAATTTTTACGAACTATGGTATTGAGTAATTACTAGCACATAACATGTAATATTATTAAAAGTGAATTATTTTTCGTTTGATATAATTTAATTTCATTTATTTATTATAATTATTTAAAATAATTTAATTTCATTTATTTATTATTCAAAAGTAATTTAGGATGTTATTTCAAAATTTTTAATTAACACATAACATTGTGAATTAAAAATTTTAACACTTTTTAAAAGAAACAATTTTTCAATTTATTACTTTCATATATGTCTATTCACATAAATTCCTTTAATTAATCAAATAAATATATAACATAAGTAAAAAATATAACATGAGTATGTTATTTATTGTAATAACTGATTATTTAAAATATTTATTTGTTTGAATTAAATTTCGTTTAGATTTGTGTCAAGTATTACTACACAGACACGCGCACAACACGGAGAAAGTACACAAGTATGTTCATACACGATAAAATTTTCGTACTGCAATGATACAACTATTACACAAAATATGAAACATTTACAATTATAATAATAAAATGAAACTTTTTTTCTAAAAAGAAAAGTAACTTTTCTGAAAAAAATGTTTTTTTGCTTTTTCCCTTTCCTGCTTTTCTATTCATTATTTCTGTGATGAACCATTTATAATCATATAAAATAATTTATAATCATTTATAAACATATAAACCATTTATAATTATTAAATCATTTATAACCATTATAATTATTTATAATCATATAAAATAATTAAAATAATTTCTAAATATAGATTTTATGACACCAGATTTACGGCAGATAATAAAAATTAGTAACTACAAACAGAGATTTCATTTGCATAAATTATTTTATGCATTTTTAAAATATTTCTAGATAGATTGTTATATCTAAAGACAGCTAAGACAGAAAATAAAGAATTTAGTTTCTCTACATGACTAATGTTCTATATATGTATTTGTATAAGTTGAAATGCGAAAGTAACCGAGTTGTACGAGAAGCAAGTTTCTAATACAAATGCAACAGTGCACATACGTGGTTTATCTGGAGAATCAAAGAAAGTGTTGCTGCCTGCTCCTAATTTTTCCAACGGACTACATTAAAATAACTCAATTCAAAATATACTTAAATATAATTGGAAAATACGGATTATTTATGATTACAAATGAAGAAAGTATCATTAAAAATAATCGTTTATTTTTTATCAATAATATTAAATTTTGAATTTTGAACAAGAAGTAATGTGGAAAGTAAAGAAAATAAAAAACTATCACAAAATCTTTAAACTTTAAACTAGTGAACTTGCTTTGTTAGATTTGTGTGTACAATTATTTTTATATTTTATATTGATATTGTATTGTAACGAGTATTAAAATTTAACTTAGAAAATCATTTAAAAAGTAATTTTCAATATTTATCGAGATGTCAGACATTCATACGAATACCTATTGTGTATATCCAACAAATTTAATATTTAACAAATTTAAAATCACATATGATTAAATATCGGTCTCGTAGCACACACTGTTTTTTCTATTTTCATTTCGTTTTTAAATCATGTTTAAGATCATTTTCACAAAAACATAATGATAATCACAAACTAGTATAAACATCAAAATATACTCGTCCTTGTTCCATGAAAAACATGATGTAGCACACTCACCTGCGAGGATTAACAGCCACATGGTGAACAAATGAGTGACGAAGCGCCGAGTGAATGTTCGGCAGAAGTAGATTTCTAGTGGCTTTATAGACGAAGGGGAAAGGCCGCACCCGAGCTAACCAGGTGGGGTTGTTACCACTTTTCTGCGACGAACTGTTTCTAAGTGCACATCGCGGGTTCAGGAAACAAAGACATTGATGTACGTCGATTTTATAGTCATTGTAATTTATTGTAATTCAAACTGTGCATATTGTTATAGCTATTTCATATTCATCCATTTAAATAACTCATTGTGAAAATGAAACTTTAAGTAATAAGATTAATGAGGTATTAATTAATTGCAGAAAAGCAATTGTATTATAAATATTAAACTCGAATTGTTACAATTACAAATATTAATTGTAATAGTATTAACTGTAATATACAATATTACAAATATTAGACAGTAGCATAAACAAATACTTTTAAATCGGCTATAAATTGGAGTATATTAGTGATACAAGATAAATAAATAATAAAATAAATTACAAAATTATAAATTGAAAATCTTAGAATATTACCATACTGTATACTATCAGATAAAAATAATTTTTAATACTTTCAGGGCCTTAAAATTAATATGTAATTAATCTTTTCTGGTTTCAAACAATAATTAATTTATTTAATCATTCAAACAATTGATTGAAAATAACAGACTTATAGTTTTTATAATCATCTTCCTAATATCATAAGAATCTAAAAAATCCTCTCAAAATATTTATTAATATAAAAACATATAAAGTAGTAATATATGTAAGATACATGATACATAAATACTTAGCAAAGAAGTTGATCGAAAGGAAAGCACGTCGTTCTGTATACTTAGGTAAGCGCAGTAAAACGGTGAATGTAAGAAATTCGAGAGCAAATCAACGGGTTACTAAACTTGGGTCACTGTTTAAAAATGTGATTAAATTTAAATAAACATGAATAAACAAACAAAACTGTCCGCGATAACGGTTGAACACAAGAAATACATTTTAGATTTATACATGTTCATATATACTTGGTTTTGGAACATACATAATATTATGTCAATAAGATCATTTATTCCATAATATGGAATAAATGTAATCATAAAAATTACTTAAGAATTTTAAAGTATATAAATGTCCCAATAAATAAATAAATATTATGTTAACAAAGTAATTAATATTACTCTATCAAAAATAATTAACATAAAAAGATTAATAAATAATCAAATAACATTTTTCAATGATAAAACATTATGTGATACTTATAATACATTGTATTTATAAATTCATTAAAAGAATTAAACAATAATTCCTGAAGAAAGGAAAAAAGTTCAAAAAGTAAATGATATAAAAAACATCATAGGTTAACAAAATCAATTTATAATGACAAAAGTCATAAATAAATATAATATACATGTAATACATACATACATGTTTATCTTAACACAGAGAAATACCAATATGATAAAAATATTTAAGAGTTATTCACATATATATGTGCAAGTACCTATTTTAAAATTTTTTTTTTTGACAATCATATTTATATATTTATATTCACGTAATAAGTAAGAAAATACATTTTAAAAATCAAAATAAATAATATCTAGTCATTATTTTTTATTTATGCTCCGATATTAAATATAATGACATTAAAAAAATTATGATCAATGTCATTATTCCAAAGTTAACAGTTGATATTATCAAAGTCAAGGATAATATTGTAATCAGGTGTTACATTATAAATTCAAGTACATTATAAAATTAATCTAATAATGAACTTGTATCGTTTTTGTTCCCACAATGTATCATACAACGAGGGTGTGCGTGTAAAACATTGAAAAGACACACTCATTATTATCAGAATTGCTAAATTTGCAGAGATGTGAATATTCTAGTAAATAAATCTCCACAAATTAAATTGAAACTTGTTGATTTAAATGGAAACAAACACGTACGCGCATTATAATAAATATTATTTTACCGATTTAATCATACATAGAGATTCGTTTGATTTTCAAACTGGATCAGTGCCGATGTTTTATGATTGCAACAGACAATCGCCCTCGCAATGAGAATTTCTCATAGTGAACCGTATGTTAAGTTTACCCGTGTATGTGCACGTTCGCCTGTGACTAAATGCGCACGACAGACTGTAATATAAACGCGGTTATGTTCCTGTAAGCCGCCGTGGGAAAGGTAATCGGTCAGAAGAAAAGCAGACTAGGCGTATACACGTGTACAAGGCGGCACTCGCTTTCAATGCCCTGTTATATGATCTAAATAATTTTGCAACGAAGAATGAATTTTGTCTGAAGATTTTCCTCTAATAAAGAGTCAATCAGTTCTTATAATGAATTAAAATATATGATGCTACACTATAATTAACATAAGTTATACTTTTAATTGGAAAAAATTCATTCCATTTTCTCATTTATGTTTATTTTTATTTCATAAACTGACATTAATCGAACATTAATGAATCACTTCGCTGTACAAACGATGCGCTGTATTTATTATCCAACGATATTTTTAATATTTATTCTTCTAAACTTTAATATTTAATTTTAATATTTATTTATTTATTTATTTTTTTAACAAAGCAATACAAATGCACATTTTATACTTAAAATAATAAACTATTTTTATTTCATGCTGATTATAAAGACTTCTGCTCTTCTTCAGAATATATTTTTCATAAAAAACACCCTAAACTTCTTATAAGTAAAAAATCATAGCAAAACATATTTCTTAATAAAATTTAAAGTTTTTAACTAACATCTGAAAATTACTGATATTTTTAATTACTGATATTTTTTGATATATTAAATCTATCATTTGATTATATCTTATTTATTTTTTCTTTTCCAATAATTTTTTAAATATTAACAAATATTTATATAACCGCTAGTTTTCAAATTCTATATATAATATACAATACATAGAACTCTATGATTAATTTTAACACTTCTTAAATTAAATTTGTATTAACTGATTATTTTGTCTTATTTTGCTTGTTAATAGCTTTAGAATGTCTTTCTTTTCAAAAATAGTCCATACTGCATCTCAGTAATAACAATATATATACGGATTGTGAAATAACAATTGCACATAAAATATAATATAGTAATATAGTAACATATAAAATTTAGAAATATGACACCTCAGTTTTAGATTCCTTCTTAAAATCTGATTCATAATCTAAATCTTTGTTTAAAATGTAAAGATTATTTATGTTAAAAAACAAAAACAAAAGAAAAAATAATTTAATTGAATTTCAGTAACTCGAACAAACTTGAACTTGAATTTGAATTAATTTGTTAATATTAGAAATCAAAGGTGAATCAATAAATTAAATTCTTTTCCTTATAAACAAAAATCAATTGTTTTTCATAAGATGCGCACTCATTATATACACATTATGTGTATAATCAAATGAGAAACATTTCCATGTGTTGCCACATTTATTTATGCCTATGCTGTTACAAAATATGTACATAAATATATCGATGTATGAATAGCTCTATGAGAAATCTCAAATGTCTAAAATATTAAAAATTAATTTTCGGGACTTACATTATTATTATAATTATTTATAATAATGATAATTATACATTATTACATTATAATTATTTCTGATTCAAAGGTTTGCTTTCAAAACCATATTATCCTCTTCAAAGTTTCCAAATAAAGAGCCAAGGTGAAAATATGGATTTAAATATAATAGATAGACAAAAAATATCAAAGACCTTATAAATACTAGTTCTATAAACTTTTTATGAGATATATTCCAACACATAATTCTTAACTTCTTAACTTCCTTAATTTATAAATGTAGGCGATCATTGGGACGATCGCTATAGGAACGAACTGTTTATGTTTCGAGAAGAGGTTTGTGCCTGGGAAAGGGGATGGTTGATCGGACGACAATCCGACAGTCGAATAAAGACTTTTGGGACCGAAATACTTTACGCCTCGAATTCTTCACCCTTTATCTATTACATAAATATTTCTTTTTAAATAGGATGAAAAACTTTAATTTCGCAGATTAAATTATTTATATTTATTACTATTAACATTTAATAAAAATATTATTACCTATTTGTGACATTTAGCAAAAACATCTTTCTCTGTGTTTACAGTTAGTATAGAAGAAAAAATATGACAGCACTTAAAGACAGCCTTAAATATCACAAGGAGGCCATAGTATTATTCTCTCTAATAATATGTTTCAGCATATGTCAAACTAGACGCACAAAAAGTTGTAATCATATGCCTTTGTTTTACGAAGTTAAACATAAATCTTTTGCTATTTATGAGGAAGATCTGGAAAATTATTGGTTTTTTTTGGTTGAAATAAATATATTACGCTTTTCATTGAATTTACTAATAAAACTAATACTATTTAATTGTTTTTTACTAATACTATTTAATTGTAATCGATATACATTTATGATTTGAATTTACATATATATATAAGATATAAAAAAGTAAAATACTTTCATTATATTATATAATCTTTGCAAAAATAACAATAGAAAATCAACTCCAAAAAGAGTTTATTTATTAATAAATAATAAGAGTTAGTTTATTAATAACAATCGCTTTCATTAATATATAAATTGTAACTAGATTATAAATTTAAATTTTTCAATAATCTGAATTTTAAGTTGTTATACCGTTACAAAAAAACAGTTTATATAATTATAAATATGATTGATATAATTATAATTATATTTCTTATATATATAATTATATACAATTATAAATATTATTATAAACATATATATAATTATAAATATAATTCATATAATGATCAATTTACACCGTAACTCACAAACAGTTACGAACTGCGTTCACTGGCAATCTGAACACTTGCGAACAACGTAACGAACAACAAACAATATTCGCTCAGAACGCAAACGAAGTATATACCTCGTTCACAGACAAGGTATACGAATAGACCTTGCATCTTACGAGGTTTCGTGGCCGGAAACCGACAGTAAAAAAATCACTAGTTTTTTAGCGCACTCTACGTTTAAACAACGGTGAATTGGGGAATTACATCAAATAAGACGATCGAGGTTGATCAAGTAGTGAATGCGCCAGGAACACAGACAAGGTATATGAATAGACCTTGCTTGCCTGTGCCAGGAATATAATTTTTGAAACTCATTACAGTGTTGTCAAACTTTCGATACCGAAATGTGAAGCTAGCAACTAACCGAAATCATTTTACTACATATATGTCAGAGAGAATTCTATCCATGTTTTACGGATTTATCACGACTTTTAAATATGTAGTAAATTAAAATTTTTAAATTATTAATACATGGTTTTAGGTATAAATGATTTATATTTTATTAAATATTCTTAAAAACTTTTAATTAACTAAATTTTCAACTATTTTAAATTATTATTAATATTAAATTATCAAATTTATGCTAAATTTTTTACAATTTTATCATAATTATGTAGTGCATTGATTATGACAAATAATATAAATTCTATAATTCATTAGTTAGAAATTACGCTTATTATTTAAAATATTATTTAAAATTTTTCTATAGATTATTTTGCCTATCAATATTATGATGAAAACAAACTTTGAATATATATTTCAATCAATGCTTGCTAATATTTTTAAATAGATATTAATAATCAAATATAAACTAAATTTTTCATTCCAATTTCCATTAGTCCCTGTTTAACCCGGGATTACCCACCTGGGAGTCTAGTGCAGGTACATCCCGGCACTAGACCCCCACGTGGGTAATCCCGGGTTAAATTCGCTCTTTATATTGCTTCATTGACAAAGTACCATTCAATTCAATAAGTAATTCTCGAAACAGAATTGGCAACACTGTTCATATTTTTTTAATTTTCACCACTACTAGTGCTAGCAAAATCGATACGGCAGGATATGACACAAAAATATTAAGATTCTAAGCACCTTATTACCATGGCCGAAAAAATACATTGGATGCAATGTTTATTCATATACCACGTCTGTACCTAGAGATTTCTAATAATCATAAAGCGTCTGGGGTAGAGGTCGCCGCCATCAGTCCTGTTCTTCATGAACTTAGAACATGTCTGGTTGCGTTGCAACATAGTCTCAACAAGTTTGACGATCAATTCGCTATCAAGCATCAATTTTCATCTAATCTGTAACTAAAGAACATTAACCATATAATGGACTCATTCGAAAATTGCTGTATATAAGTTGGTCCAAAAGTTTCCGGAATCGGCCATTTCTAGTGCTGTCACTAGATTGTTATGCAATTTTCGTAAAGCTTGACAATTTTTAGATTAAAAAGTTACTGTTAACTGATTTCGTTATTATAGTTTCTTAGAATTTAAAAAAAACGTGAAAAAATGGATTTAAATCAAGAATATTTTCGTATGATTTTTTCGTAGTAATTTAACATAAGAATAATGTATAGAACGACTTGTTTCGACGATAAAGCATCATCGAAAACTACCGTTGATTTCAAGAATTCAAAAGTGGAATTTAGTTTGTTTCGTGAAGGTTATTTTCAACTGCTGTTATTTTTTAAAACATCGATGTTATCTATGAAAATACAAAAATATAAAATAATATAGTAAAGATACAATAAAGTAAGAAATATACAAATAAAATAAAGAACAGTGACAAACTAGTTAAAGATTGTTCTTATTTTTATCTATCAATTTAACTTTTTAAAAACTAGCCTAATAAATTTTGTTTAAAATATTAATATTTTAAATATTATCTCATAAACATATTATTAGATACTTACGTTGTATATTGTATACTTAATTGTATATCATACTTAAATTATTTTAATAATAAGAAAATTTCAAATAAACCAATTTTATTTAATTTCATTCAATAACAATTATATTTATTAATAACAATTTTTCAATATTTTTCATATGATAATCTTTAAAATATTATTTTAATTTATAGTTTATAGTTATGTTTTTCGTTTATACTTATTTACTTTAAATGCAAAAGCAAACATTTTTTTAAAGAATATTTATTAAAATTAAGAAATGATGTATTTAAACATGATAGTAAAGAAATTTAAAACAATCAAAATAAAATATATGTAAAAATAAACATTTCTTTCTTTCAAATTTTTTATAGTTTGAAAACATGTTAAATTAGAAAATATAGGAAAGTAAAAAGGATTAGGAAAACATACTTAGAAAAAATAAAATAAAAAACTAAATTTCAATAATTAAAGTTTAATAAATCTATCAAAACTTAAAAATTTTGCATCCCTTTTATTCTTTAGATCCTTCTTGATTATTATTATATTTTTAATGTAAAGGAATATAAAAAATATAATTCTAAGACCATTACATAATCACTGCATATTCATATTATTACAAAAAAAAATTTTTTTAGATTAATGATGAAACATATGATTACTAAAGCACAAAAGCTTTCTATTAATGTAATTTAAAAAATAAAATTATTTTGTTTTTTAAACTTAATTTTTATAATATACTACAGAATGTTTACATTATGTGCACCTAAAAAAACAAAATTTTATGTATAGTGTTTACTTAACTTTCTGTATTGTGTATATTTATATACACTTTTATTTTTTTTTTTAAATTCAATATTACAACTTTCTTAAATTAAGATTTTGAAAATCTTAAAATTTATTTAAAATTATATGTTTATATATACGTAAATATAGATATACACACCTACATATATACAAGTAATGCACTTATACTTCTAAAATAACTGAAATATCAAATAAAAATTTGTTAATGTAAAGTTATTCTTCTTGTCAATGATAATATCATTAGTCAATGGATATATATATCTTTTAAAAATATTTAATTTAATACAAAACATCTCTAAAATACTTAAGAATCACTATTTCCAATATCGAAAGGAAAATTATTTAGAATTTAATAGATAACTTAAAAATAATTAATTCATTGCAATTTTTATATTTTCATATATACGATATCTGTCCCAAAAGTATCCGACCTCTGCTTGCATTTTAAAACACTTATTCTTTTATAGTTCCTCCACCTCTTCCGTCAACAGTCGTGGAATAAACTTTGCCTAATTTTCCTTTACCCGACTCATTCCCAGATCTTCAGTTAAAATTTTTGCAATAGTGGTTTTGGGGATTACAAGATCTTCTAGTTCGCGTACGGTCAAACGACAATTTTTGTTGATCGCGGCTTGAATACGTTCCACGTTTTCTACCGTCCTCGACGTTGAAGGCCTCCCGGAACGATAATCACTGTCCACTGAGACACGACCGTCTTTAAAGCGTTTATACCACTCCTTTATCTGCGTGTTACTCATGGAGTCATCTCCGTAAACTTTTCGAATCATACGAATTGTCTCTGAACAGGTGTGACCAAGTTTTTGGCAAAACTTGATGCAAATTCTTTGCTCGACTCGTTCCGTCATTGTGTAATGCGACGCTTGAGGAATTTGACATTCAACAAACTACGTATTGTTGTCGAACAGTTTTCGGCTTCTGTTAATCGGTAAGGGTAATCCTAAAGGATCCCGCTAAGTGCTCCATACATGCTTTTTACAATTGGATACTCAAGGACAACGTTATATGAAGAGGTCGGATACTTTTGGGACAGACCATGTATTCTACATTCTAATTTATAAAATTAGTAATAAAATAAAAACAAATAAGTATAATAAAATATAAATAACTAAGTGTAATATTAATAGAAATTATTCATTTCAATCATTCAAACTATAGTTACTCTGCAATATAAAAATATTAATAATAACTAATTTTAATTTAAAATGAAATCCTACATTATTTTATTATTTTAAATTTATTACGTGACAATAATCTTTTTCTACAATTTTTTTTATACAGAAAGAGGGCCAATAAAATTTTAGTTAATTATAGCATTTATTTAATTATCGTGTTTCAGATTATAAAATTTAGTATTTTATTTACAAAGAATTAAAATAAATACTACATTATTAAACAAAAATTTTATTTAATATTTTGATATTTTCAAAAAAAAATTTGAAGCTCCCGCCAAAAACAAACTATACTCGTCATGGTTCACCGTACTAAACTAGTTATACATACATATGTAATATTCATAGAGACATTTCTCTATTTATTAGACTGTGAATTTAATATTCAAATATTATTATTGTTAAATTATTTGGACTAATAGAAATAAATAAATGTGAAATATAACATCTTTATATTTTTTTTATAAAAAAGAAATAAACTTTTTCGAAAAGTCATATTTTTTGTAAAATTTGTTATGAAATTAATTTATGCAGAAAATTATATTTATGCAGTAAAATAGAAATGTATACAATATGTAACATAACGATAATAGTAGAACGTTTTTAATATTCGAAATTGATTAGATTTTATATTTGAATAGAAATGAATCAAGAAGAACTAACACAACGCTATCTTTTTTACTTCTATGACTGAAGAAATTATCCGCCATTATAGTATATGGTGTATAAGTGTATAATATGCATCAGTGATTACGAAAAAGCAGAAATATGTACGCCTAAAAGATGTGAAGAATATATTTCATTATATATCGGTTGTGTTATTATATTTTATAAGTGAAATGTGCATTATTATCGAAATGAATTACACAACCTAACATCGAATGAAACTAAATAGTATAATAGAAATGTATGTAGACATTTCAGATTAATAAACGGAAGAATTAGAAAACTTGTATAATTTATTTTACATTGGTAAGCGAAACAAAATTCTATAATTAAATAATTTCTACATCTAAATAATGGAATGCAATTTAGCGAATCTTGTTACATTAAATTATATAAAATTCTAATAATGTTTTTTTACTTGTAATTTTTGTTAATTTTTATTGTAAATAACTTTTTATTATCTTTTTCTCAGCTGAAAATGTCAATAGAATATAGTAGATGTGTTCTAAGAATGGTGGTTGCTCAAATTTGTCAAACAATTGGATGGCATTCAATTAATTCTACACCATTAGAATTTATGGTTGATCTTATGCAAGAATATATTTTGCGAATTTCAAGACTTACTCATCAATATGCCGAAATTTGTAAGTATTCATAAAGTATTATAAAATCTTAAGTAAGAGAAATTTCTAATCTAGAAAAAATTTCTTCATGAAACTTATTGCAATTAATTAAAGTTTTTTTCTCTTTTTTGTTCAATTTTTATTGTTGAAATGACATAGAAATGTGTTTAGTAACAAAAATTTTCTTTATGTCTATATTAAAACTAATATCTTTTCTCAGGTATGAGGTATTCAATTGCCTATTCGATGTAATTTTATCTAATGTTTTAAATAATTTGTTTTTATGATAAATAATAAAAATGCAACAGTTAATTATTTTATATATAGTACTAACAAGTCAAAACTAAGGATGCGTTTGAAAAATATTGAAATATTGAAATCATAATTATGTCCATTAGAATGATGGAAAAAAAAAATATCTAAGATTACCAAATTGCTAAAAAATATTTATGTTTGTTAGCTTTGAAAAAGTATTTTTTACAACTGAAAAATTTATGGTTAATTCAAAGAATGGACAAACCTACCAAAAAAGGAACTTATTACCATATTTGTACAAAAATAAAAACATCTAATTTAAAATAATTATTTCATTGTTTTATTATATATTACTAAAACATAAATGGCATTGTAAATATCTAAGTAATATGAATAAAAATAATAGATATTTACACTTCTAGACAAAATGATAGCGTGTTATCTTTATTTTCTTGTGTTAGAATTATCTTAGCATGAAAATTTTTAGTGATATGTAAAACGTATCTTCCACAAATATGACATAACATAGATTGACTTTACTTCAATGAGTTTTGTTAGGAGAGAAAAACATAATCCGACACAGACAAAATGATGCACACTTGAAAGATAAAAATATATATTTCATATAATACAACTATATGTTTCATATAACAGAAGTATACATACTTTATATAACAATATATATACTAAACTATACTTTTCTAATAATGTGTACAACCTCCTTTGTTTTCTATGACTTCCACTATCCTTTTAGGTAAAGAATTATATAATTCTTTAATTTTTGTTTGGGCTAAATTTCCCATTCAATTGTAATGCAAGTTTTTAATTCATTTATATTTGAAAATTGTTGACCTTCAGTATACACTGCTCATGAGAGCATTGCCCAGCAATTCTCAATGATATTAAGGTCAGGTGAACACGCCGGCCATTGAAGAGTGGAAATATTCTCCTTTAAAAAATATTCTTTAACAATTTTAGCAGTATGTACTGCAGCATTATCTTGTTGGAATATGTATGGTGTAACAGCAATGCGTTCTGCATAAGTAAATTTGATTTTTTTATTACTTGAAGATAACGAACGCTATTCATTGTGCCCTGAACAAACTTAATGTCTGTTTTTTCTTTATATTTGACACCAGCCCAGACCATTACTCCATCTCTATGCATTTAGCATTGAATTTTTGTTAGTGGTTGTTTACGGATATCACGATAAAAATGTGTACACCTGTCTGAACCATCAAGGTTGAACTTTTTACTCATCTCCAAGTCTTTTTCCAAAGTACATGTTCCTTTGCAAATACCAAACGTGTCTCCTTATGTCTATTTAATGCTGGTTTTATCATTATTCTACTTCGGTTTATAATGTTGCTAGTCTGGAGTACACGACGAACATTCTGTATATTTGTTTCTACTCCAGCTTTCTTAGCAATCTCCCTCGCAGTAGCACAAGAATTGGAAGCACATATTATTGCTCGTGTATTGCATTTAGATAATACTGCTTCCTGTACTTTTCTTCTTTCTGTATGCACTTGTATCTTTGAAAAAATTATATATAACTTTTCTACTAACTTCTTTTGCAATTTGAGTAATGGACAGCTTTTGTTTCCTCAGAGCTAAAATTGTGCTAATTTCGTTTTCACTAAGCTTTTTTTTGCCACGATCCATTATGAGAATAGCAATGTGATAAAACTCTAGACACCAATTGAACGTAATAACTCTGTGCAAGTTCATGAAACATTGAAGAAAATGTAAATACTGTTCTAGTGTGCTATCATTTTGTCTGTGTCGGATTATGTGTTTCTCTTTCAACTAAGAGAACCTATTGAAGTAAGGTCAGTCTATGTTATGTTTACATATTCGTAGAAGGTTATACATATAACTCAGAGTTTCCATGCTAAAATAATCCTAACACGAGAAATTAAAGACGCTTGTGCTATCATTTTGTCTGGGATTGTAATCTCAACTATCTTTGGATCCAGGATTTCATAAATAATAGCTGTAATCCATATTCTTAGCAAATAATATTACCTTTACACTTTTATAGCCGATTTAATTTAAAATTTAACCAATACACATTACTAATATAAAAAAATATGATAAATCTCAAATGACAATTTGTTATTGATAAAGTTAAAGAATTAAAAATTCATGAGCAAGATTTATTATAGTACTATGATATATCTGACTTTTTTAACTTTTTAGTCAATCTACTTATATTAAATAATGTGAATTATTTTATTTATAAACTTTTGTTATTGTATATTGATTACTAATGTCTCAAACATTTTAGTCTGTTTGAGAACAGATTAAGAAGAAAAGTTCTTCTGTAGACATTAGTTGCCTTTTAAAAACCTATGATATCGTAATTTTTATATGAAATTTTTTTCAAATGAATAATGCATTTTGAAAATAGAAGCTTTAAAATAATTTATTTTTGTATGATTTCTTTTTACAAAATTATAACAATTTTAATATTTAGTATCTGGATATTAGTGAGAATTACTGTACATGAGCTTCAAACTTCAAAGAAGTAGAAAATTTAAAAAAGAATCAGCCGTTTGAAAGTTCTAGATTGGAAACTCCCTTTAAAATAATATTATTAATACTAATAATTACGTAATATATAAAAGTTAAAATATAGTAGTTTTATTTTATATAGACTTAGAATCTATTTCATTTCAAATATAAATATATTAAATGTTTTTTTCCAGTGGGAAGGACAGAAGCAAATCTTGATGATTTAGGTTTAACATTTCAGTATATGAATATCGATGTCCAAGAATTAATAGAATATATAAAAAATGTAGATTCTGTTCCATGCTCTATAGCAGTACCTAAGTTTCCCATTCAACGTGAAAATCATTTAAATTTTTTGAAACCTGGAAGTCGGGAAGTTGTAACAAGACCTGTACATATACATGAACATTTACCAGCTATGTTTCCTGATACTGAAGGTAAAATATATTATTTAATGTATCTGTTAAAGTTAAAAGAATGAAGCATTAATTTTTTAATAATATAAATCATTTGAAAAATTTGATCTACTTAATTGAGTATATAATACATAATACATAATTATATTTTATAATGTTTCAAACATAAGACATATTTTAATCTTCTTATTTAATTTTAGAAACATTTCTAGGTTATAGGATAATATATATATAAATATCATTTAATATGCAAAAGTAATAATCTGGAAAAACAGAGAAAGAAAAATGAAAATTTCGTATTCAGAAAAGTAGTGGTGTACTTTTGTTTTAATTTAAATACAAAAGAAATATCTATTTTTTAGTTTGTAAATTTTACAAAAATAT